ACACACACACACTGACCACACACACATAAACACACACACACACACACACACACACACACACTGACCACACGCTGACCACACACACACACAAACACACACACACACACACACACACACACACACACACACACAAACACACACACACACATCTTCAGAATGAGCTGGACCAGTGAAGAACCTACCATTCTAAAAGGCTGGAAAAAAGTATCCCAAGCTGCAGACAGGGAAAGACAAGAGGCACTGGCCGACTGCCCCTCAGGGGTCTCCCCTCCTCACTCAGCAGGGGCCTTCTTCCCAGTCCCTCTGCCAGACAGGCACATCCTCTGTGCTCTCTTTTCACCCACAGGCACCCTTTCTCCCAAATAGTTAAAAGTCGGATACTGTCTCTCGAACTGAGCTGATAATGACTGAAAGAGCTGCAAGGGATTGTTTTGTCAAGCATGTCTGTATTCTAATTGTGGAAAAAATCTTCAAGCCAAAGGAGTGCCTCTCTAATGGTAAAAATCCAATGATGTGATTCACCCCCAATAAGCCAGGTTGAAGAAGCGATATCTATTTGGAGCAGGAGAACGTATGAGCCTAAGGCTGGAAACTCTCTCCTGGATTTCAGTAGAGATCCAGGGAGTAGCACAAAAGTGGGACTTGATAAAATAGGGGCACTGTGCCATGCTGACACATTTAAGCTCACACAGGCATTTCCTGTGCATCTACCGACACTTGTCGGGTGATCTTCCCAGGAAGTGGTGGGGAATGAGGCACACTGTCAGCCCAGACCGGTGGACCCTGGGAGGCCCATCCAGGGTTCTCATGGGCATGTCCCTGAGCCTCTCCACAGGGCATTGCCTCCCCCCCCCCCCCCCTGCCCTCCCCTCCCACCCCTGCCACTGTTGCTGTGTCTTCTCAGAAGCTCCTGTGGCCAAATAAAGTGGGACTAAGAAGTAGAGGCAACACCCTGAGACAACAGACAGCCAGACTCAGGGACCATGCCCAAGCAGCTGCCCAGAAGGCTAGATCAGGAAAGCAGAGGGAGCCAGCAAGTGCAGAACCTATCTCTCTTAGGTCAACCCTGGAGATAAAGTGTGACTATGAGCAGACTGTGAATGTCATCCAGCCAAGCAGGGAAGGTTGGAGGTGACATCAATGTCACAATGGCAAGAATCACTGAGGCAGGTGAATCCCAGCCCTGTGTCCCAACTTTTTCATGGGATGGAAGGGATAAAGGAGGAAGAAGCTGACTTCTACAGGGTGCAGTATGATTCTCTCTCCTTTTGCCTGTCCTGGACCCAGGGAAGATAAGAGGGAGAAGAGGGGAGGGGATAGGAGAGGGCACAGAGATCTGACTCTTACAAATTACAATTTCAGACACCATCCACTGACCCATGGTGGATTTGTGACTCCCTCCATCATCCTTGGAACTTTTTTCGGAGAGAGGAGTAAGGGACCAGCATGGCCTTCTAGACACCTCCCTGCACCTGGCTGTCCCACTTAACACAGGCCATCTGCCCACCACTCAGTAGCTACCACACTGCCCTGGAAGAAGTAGGAGAGTGTCCTCAGCTTCCTAGGACTGTCCTAGTGAGCCCTCCTGGCTTGCCCTGAAGAAGCGAGCATGCCATACTCCTAGGTGATGATCACTGGAGTGCAGGCTATTGCCCTGATGAGGATCCTCAGCAACTAAGTTAATCCCTTCCCTACAGTTAGTTAGTCTGACCCTCCCCCTGATATGGATGGGAGTCGGGGACCTAGGGGCCACTAGAGGAGCTTGGGTTCTGACAGGGGCATACTCCGGCCTGACTTTATTCCAGGCAGCTTAGCTGAGTCTATCTGAGTTACATAACCAAACTCCCCATAACACTTCATGAGTCACCAGCCCCCTTGAATTCCTAGAAGGGGTCTCAGAGGAGGAAAAAGCATGGTTTGCACTCAACTGCTCTAGACCCACAAGCCCCCAGCCTGTCTCCCCCTCTCGGTCTGCCAAGCAGGAGGCAAGCAAAACCCTCTCCAGCCAGACTTCAAACGCAGGAATCTAGATCAGGGATATATTTGGCTTTCTCGGCTAATCTTTACATCAATTTGGTCTCTACTGACTTGTAACCCTTTGAAGCAAACCTAGCAACGGTGTATTAAAACCACGTGACTCCCACATACCCCCCCCCTAAAGAAAAGCCTCAGGCTCAGGAGACCCACAGTTCGGGGTTCCAAATCCATAGGCACTGTAAAAACCCCAGCTTCTACGGCATGCTCTGGGCATATATGTTTTTCTCCTAAGAATGCCCAGACAACGTTTGTCAAACACCCTGCCAGAGATGACACGGAAGCTTTGAGGCTGGGTGGGAGGCAGTTAGACCCCAAGTGATCCCAACTAGAAGGGTGCAGGCACACAGAGGGATAAGCAAGCTGTCCCATCTCCAGGGACCAGAGGTAGACATCTCAGGGAGGTGTTGAGCTGCTTGCAGGCTGTGTGCTCTGCCCTTTTCCCCAAGGCCGAAGAGAAGGAACAGGGAAGGGGGGAATAAATAAATGAATAGAGATGACAGAGAAGGAGGTGTCTACTACCAACTCCTCCGCTTGGCCCAAGGATGAGAGAGGGGGTGGCGTGTGCTGATGTTGCTGGAAGCTCTCCACTCCCTCCTAAATTTACCACTTATTCCAGCATTATTATCCAGATGAGTATCATGGCCTCTGACCCTAGATGGATTCCAGTTGCAATCAATTTAGCAGCAGCAGCTGGAAATGAGAGTGAGCCAGCATTCACCCTGTGCCCAGTGTTTTCGGACAAAGCATTGACTCCAGCCACTAAAGCCTGGCTGCACAGGCCCAGCTGCTGGGGGACTTTGTGCTGGGGCTGGTGACAGCCAGCCCTGTGGATCCCTGCCGGGAAGCCCAGACACAACACAGCACACACTGGGAGGGCTTGAGAAAACTGTGAATTGTGTTCTGAACGTATACCCAGG